GAGGAGGAGAAAGCAAACCCCAACCCACGGCAGAGAGAAAGAGTGCTAAAGTAAGTGGTTGTGGGTCTAACACTGGGGTAAAGAACCTTGGGTATGGTCTTTTGACTGAGTCCAAGTTTTACAGAACAAATCCTTTTACTAAGGAAATTAGTTCTGTGAAGTTTGGATTCAGTCAAAGGGCCAAACTTGAGGACATAGAGGGCCACATGTGGGCCTGAGGCCACAGGTTCCCCATCCCTGGTCTAGAAGAAATGTTGTAGAGGTATAGAAGGGTCTATCTGCTGCTGGATGGCGGTAGCCATTAGGAATCTTTCATTAGGTCCAAAGATCCCTTCTGAGCCACCTGTAGATTGTTGAGAACATAATGAGAACACATTTATATAGTGATTTAATGTTCACAAAGCTTTGCAATAACCCTGTAAGGTAGGCAGTACAACTATACTCTCCATTTCACAGATGAGGAAACTAAGGCACAGACAGGTTAACTTGCCTATAGGAATAGATATCAGAATTTGAACTATCTCCTCACTCCAAACTCAGCTCTTTCCAGCATACTACACTGCCCATCCCACAGTTAAAACATTTTATTAATTATCTATAACAAACATTAAGTGCCTACTGTGTGCAAGGTACTCTTCGAGGCACTGAGGATACAAAGACAAATCCAATCCCTGTCCTCAAGGACCTTGCATTGTACTGGGGGAAAAACATACGTATACAGGTAAGTAAGTACAAAGTCAGCCTGGGGTGGGAACATTAAGAGGAGGGAGGAATTCATGAGATGGCTCATGTAGGATGGGGAACCTAAGTTGAGCCCTGTAGGGAACTAGGGGTACCAAGAGCTCCCCAGAAGGGAGCACATTCCAGGCTTAGCGGGTAGCAGTGCAAAAGTACCAAAGGTACACAGAATGCAAGTACAAGGAGCAAACGTCACCAGTCTGGCAGGAAAAGGCTGAGATGAAAAGTGAGTACAATAGTTCAGGAAAGGCAGGACACAGTCACATGGTAGATGGCAATTCTGCAGTTTTGTGGAGGTGGCATCTGGGAGATTTGAAAAGTGGCTGCATTGGGGGAGGGGAAGAGCCCAGGATGTCTGGTGATTTGAACCTGGGCGGCTGACTGAAAAGAAGTGTGAGGCACTATGCTGGATGCTGAGCATAATACGCGTTTGTGGAAAATGAGACAAACATGATATAGTCTTTGTCCTCAGGAAGCTTACACTCTATGGGGAAGTTACCGCAGGCATACAGATAAGTAAATATAAGGTAATCTAAAGAGGGAGAGGGGGAAGGAATTAAGCATTTATCTAGCACTCATTGTGCCAGGCACTATGCTAAATGCTATGCAAATATTATCTCATTTGATCCTCACAACAACTTGTGAGGTAAGGGCTCTTATTATCTCCAGTTTACAGTTGAGGAAACTGAGGCAAACAGAGGTTAAGTGACTTGCCTAGGGTCACACAGCTAATAAGTGTATGATTCTGGATTTGAACTCTGATCTTCCTGACTCCAGGGCCAGTGCTCTAATCCACAGTGACACTGAGCTGCTTCTAAGGTTAGAGAGTTAAGCTGTTACTGAGGGAACCCTAACAAATGAGGGAAACAGAAAAGGCTTCCTGTAAGATGTGGCAATTTGAAGGAAGCCAAGGATTCTGAGGCAAAGGTGAGAAGATGCCTGTTCAAAAGCACAGAAATGGGAGCTGGAATGCCTAGTTCAAGGAATAATTAGTAGCTCCCAATTTGGCTGGAACTAGAAAAGAAGGTTGTCACCAGATTTTGAAGGTCTGTAAATGCCAGACTATACAGATTACATTTTGTCCCAGAAATAATAGTGAGTCCTTGAAGACATTTGTTCACTTTGTGGTTCATCAAAGACTCTTTTTAAAAATGGATCTTAATGAAAAGGACTCCAGAAATGGAAAATCTCTAGATAAATAAGGACAAAAATACCCTGTTCCCACCCCACCTCCAATCTTATCTAGACAAAATCAGATTGAAATAGTTAAAAGACAGAAAAAGTGGAAAAGAAATCACAAAATAATCCGCCTTGGAGGTGAGTGTGAAGCGGGGGAGAAGGAAAAGGCAAGAGGCAGAGTCATTCATTTACACTGGCAATGGGATAGGGTATGGAAATTATTTGCATATTGCCCGAAGGTCTTTATTTGTTTATTTATTTATTGCAATTTTAGCTCCAGTAGGCAGCAACCTCCCTCTCCCAGCAGCCCACTCCAGAAACTATGAAGTAACCAGGGAGGGTCTCCACACACTCACACTCCCAGGAGAGCCACACATACACACTGCCTCTAAGGAATATCTTGAATATTTGCCCTTTGAAGGAATTCGGCAAGAGTTCAACTTACAGTCTTACATTTTCCAGGGGTTTCAATCCCTAAGTCAGTCTTCCCGAAACCAACACCAACGTGGCTCATGTTCCTCCCACAACGTGATGCCACCAACACAGACCCATTTCTCGAAAACTCCTCCCATTTCCCGTTCCTCACACTCCGGTGCTGGACAGCGGCCTCCTCGATTAAGGTGCTAGACAGTCTTGAGTTTTATTTATCGGAGGATGGCGGGTTGGAATTAAGGTTACACTGAGCCAGAGAAAGGAGGAAGGGAGGAGGTGGCTGGTGATGGGGGCGGGAGAAGATGAGGAAAGCCTCTTCCACCTGCTAGGCAGAGCTGGCTACAGGAAGATGAAGGAAGCTGCCCAGACGAGATGGGCTCGGCTGAGCAGATGTGGCAATCCGAGCAGGCGGCGAACCCCAGCTCCATCCCCACGTCCACCCTTTCCTCCCAGGTCCAGGTGCGAAGCTCGATAAACCTTCCAGGTCTTCCCACGACCCCACTCTCCACAGCCCACCCCAGAGCCCTCTAAACCTTGAGTGTGCTCCCCACTGGGGCCTCGGTTCCCCCTCGGCCTGACCCCGGCGAAGGCGAAGCCCCTTCAGCTCCCAGGGGCGCCTCCTCTTCTTCCCCGGCCCGACTCCCTTTAGCACCCCAGCGAAGAGTGCGCGGGCAGCGCGGCCTGGGCTCCGTGCGGGGCCGAGCCTGGTCCGGGGCCCCCGGGTGTACCCCCGAGGGCCCTGCTCCTGGCCGGGCAGCGAGCCCTCGCCTTCCCCGTCCTTCCCCGCGGCGGGCCCAGCCTCGCGCTCCCCCCTGGCCCGGGCGGGCCCCGCTCACCCTCGAGCGTCTCGCACTGCACCAGGTTGACGTAATCCGACTGGCTCAGCACCCCGGCCTTGAGGCCCCGGACCAAGCCCTCCAAGTAGCCATTGTCCACGTTGAAGTAGAGCTCGGGGAAAGCAGACATCGTGGCAGCGGCGTCTCCAGGGACTCGATGAGTTTAAGGGGGGGGAACTACTGCCGAACCGGAACCGGACCGGGCATGTGATCCCGCCCCCACGGATCAGGTGACGCGTCGCCAGGGCGTCGGCACTGACAGCCGAGTCAGATGACAATCCCCCACCCCGATCACATGACCCAGGGCCGAGGAGAACTATTGGCTTACGACGACGCTTGGCTTCACGAGAGCTAGTGCGCATGGACACAACGAATGCCTCATTGCGCGTGCGCGGAAGTTCGTGAGCTACGGTGCTAGTTCCCAGCTGGAGATCAGTGGCACTGAACCGTGGAAGGGGGTTGCGGGCAGGGACTGCTGAGGTCTCTAACCTGGGCGTCCCCTCCTCCCCAGGCGCTGTGTGTTGAAGGAGCTTCGTCGTTCTCCCTACCTCCCGGGGTGTGTGGGGAGGGGTGCTAATTCAATTAATTCTCCTCTCTCTGCCCCCGCCCCGACCTCCACTCCCCCCAACCTGGAGGGAGCGAGAAAGGCCTCCTGGAGTAATGGAAAGCTCGCAGTACCGGTTATTAGGAAGCCTGACTTCTAGTTCCAGCGCTGCCAATGACTAGCTGTGTGGTCCCGGGCAAGACCCCTTCCCTCTCTGAGCCTCAGTGTCTTCAGCTGTAAAATGAGAGGTTTGGGCAAGAAAAATGTGCCTTCCAGCCATGACTTTCTCTCTTAAGGCTCCTTCCCAGATGTGACCTTTAAAGGTCCCCCTCGGCTCTGATATTGATTCTGTGGGAAAAGGTCACTGGTCTCCATAAAATTTTACTAACTTCCCCCCAACTCCAAAAAAAAAAAAGACATTCTAGATGCCTACACATATTTGAAGAACTGTCTTAATAGCTCTTTACATTCTAGATGCCTTCACATATTTGAAGAACTACTTCAATAGTTCTTTAAGGTTTGCAAAGCACTTTGCCAGTATTATCTCATTTTGTCCACACCATAACTCTTGAGTTAGGTGCTATTGTTAACCCCATTTTACAGCTGAGTCAGTTGAGGCAGAGAACTGCCGTGCCCATGGTCATACACAGCTGAGGAGTGTCTGAGTCAGTATTTGAACTAAATACTTAGTTCTTGCTGATTCCCAAGTCCTGTGCTCTACTCACTGTGTCACCCAGCTGCAAGCAAAGGCTGGATGACAACTTGTCAAGGATGTTGTGGAGGGGGTTAGGAGTTTGATTACATAGCCTTTGAGGTCCCTTCCAAATCTGTAGTAGATTAGTTTCTATAGGTCATGTTTGTATCTCTCCTGGTGCACCCAATGCTATTGGTCAAGATCGAAGGCTCTTAATAAATACATAGATACACTTTTCTTCAAGTGCTGGGAAGAGGAAGGCCAAGGTGCTGATGTGCTAAGTTTGTGGGAGAAGTGAGGTGGGTAGGTAGAGGGCTAAGTGTGCAGTTAGGGAAAAGGCATCTAGTCGGTTAGAATGTGGTGGGTTTGAATCTCACCCAAATGGCATACTAACTTCCCTGAACCTTATCTTTCTCATTTGTAAAATGGAGATAATTATACTACCTCTCCTTCCCAAAGGTGTTTTTGGTTTTTGATGGAGTATTTTGGAAACCTTAAACTCTGGAAATTCGAGTGGTTGTTATTGGCTAAATCAGAAGAGGTGATGTGCAGGCAAGGAGAACTGTGTGGACAAGGATCTGTTTCAGGAAGGTTGCCCCCAGCTGAGATAGTGCCTGTTCCCCATCTACCCATCCCCAGTCCTGTTTGCCAATCGGAAAAGCTCAAGTCAGCGCCCTGCCTCTGCGGCCAGAGTTCCCGAGCTACAGGCCTGAGCGCAAAGTTTGATCTTGTTTTGGCCAGAACCCCTGGATCCTGAATTAAGAAAAAGCGGCATAGCCACGGGTTTCCAGCTTTGCTCTAGGGAGCCTTTATTGGTGCTTGTACATATTTGGCTTCCCTCTGTCCCTCAGCCTAGCCCAGCTAATTGTGGCTACAAGGGTAGTTGGTGCTGATCTTGCGGCAGTAGCAGAAGGCGTTAAAGAAGCGGCAGTAACAGGTGGCGCACGGGTCGCAGCAGGGAACCTGGTGACCCAGGCAGGACTCAAGGAGGCGAACACAGCGGCGCGGGGAGCGATCTTCGCGGCTCATCGGACCCGGCATCTGCGGAGGAAGGAGACGGGAGGGTTCTGACGCTCAAGCTTCCATACCAGCCTGGCAGTGAGCTCACTGCCCTCGAGTCCCCAAAGGATGCCCATTACCACCACGCATCACCCCTCGTGGAGTCTCCTCAAATTTCGAGGGGAAGAGAAAAAAACGTGACCCTAGCATTTCTAGGTTTATCATTATGAGATTTAGAACTGGAAGGGACTCATCTAGTTAAAAACTTCCACTTCCCTCATTTCGCAACTGGGAAAATACCCAGAGAGGGTGATTTACCCAGGGCAAAACAGCTAGTAAGTTTCAAAGGGAAGATTATAACCCAGGAGGACCTCTGACTCCTATTTTACCTGAAAACAGTGGGGTGGTAGCGATTCTTGGTTTAGTTCTGAAATGCTAAGATTCTGGGGAAAAGGCTGCTGGAACATGAAACATCTCTATTCTCCCTCTAGAGCTCCATCAGCCTTTTCCCTTGTTGAAGGCCTTTGCTCAAATCCTGATTTTGCTGCTTAGTGAGAGCTGACTTTACCAGAGCTTTTAAGATGTACAAAACACTTCACCTTCATTAACATTTGTATTTTACAACAAAACTGTGAAGTAGGAATTACTGGATACAATTCAATTCAACAAGTATTAAATTATTAGGGACCTACTATGTGCTTAGTAAATATGGGAGGAAGGATTTCAATTCAGGTCTCTCCTGACTCCAGCATTCTTTCCATTACACTGTATTTTCTCTTACTATCTGTGTGAATTCAGGCAAGTAATTTAATCTCTCTGAGACTTAATTTCTTCATCTGTCAAGAAGGAGTAGGTCTAGACAGTCTTTAAGATCTTTCCCTAATCTAAGTTCTGTGACCTTAGGAGGAGAGAGGCTGAAGAAATTAAGTGTTTTCTCCCTTCTGCCAGGAGTTTGCCTCTTGTGACTTTCTTCCTTTCCTGCAGGGATACTTACCCTGGGTGCCAGAGCCTCAGTGTCTTGCATGAGGGATTCTTCTGCCAGCTTTGATGCCATCTGCTCCAGTTCTGGCTGTATACCGGGGCCTGGCAGGTAGAGAAGAGGTGAAGGGAAAGCAGCAGCTTACCTAATCCGGTCCAGCCCATCCTACTAGAGGATCCCTGGAGTGGGAGATTGGGCAAAATTTAGGGAGAATGAAAAGGAGTGTGGGGGGTAGGACATGGAATCCAGCACCAGGAGGAAATAGGGCTTAGTTCTAAAGATGGGCTACAGTCCCTAATTCCAACATGGTTCGGTGGAAAGAGTACTGGGCTTGGAGGCAGAGGAGACCTGGGTTCAGTTCCCAACTATTCTACTTACTACCTAGCTAATCTTGGACAAGTGTGTTTCATTCTCTGTGAAATGATGGAATTGGACTAAATTATCTCAGAGGTCTTTTCAAGCTTCTCAGGTGGGTGGACACCAGCCTTGGGAAAAACTTTGCTGGCTCTGTGAGCTTCAGAAGGAAATCTTTGGTCCCTTGGTTGTTTATAACTCCCCAGGTTTCATTACTGACCTGAAAGTCCCAGAGAGGCGGCAGGGGCTGAGTGCAAGAGCCCAGGGTACAGAGCCTGACTTGACCTACTCAGTCTGGAGACGATGGCCTCTGGGTATTGCTGAGTGGGCTGGGTACCCAAGGTGGTAGACAATCCCTGCAGCATGGCCCAGCTCAGCAGCAAAGCATTCAACATGGTCTGGCACAGGCATTGGGAAAACATGGACTTACCCTGTGCTGCAGGGGCTCCTGAGTCTCATAACTCTTCACATATTTCCAGTTTGCAGCACTTAGTCCCCAATACCCGTCCCCTCATCCCTTTGACCTCCCAGACATTCACCTCATGCCACCCCCTCCACTGTCCCCTGACCCTTACCCTGAGTGACAGTCTTCTCTCTCTGAAGAAGTCACCACCCTTTCCCTACATAGGCTCCCAGATAGCAATAATGGGGCTGGGGTCCCACAGGCCATTCCCTCCCGATGAAGAATTTAAGAGGCTCAAGCCTGGGGGGTCTCACCGCCTATGAATTTGTCCTTGTCCCTTTCCTTGGAGATATCCTCTTCCAGCTGCCCTTCCAGCGGCCCCCCTGCTTATATATCCAGGTCCTAATGAAGAAGTAGACCACATGACTGCTTGGTGGGATGGGGGAATGGGGGGGTCATCCCTGAGCCAGAGACATTGTTCTCAAAGATCCCCGCCCTCTCTGTCCCCAGCACTGCGGGTGGGGTGGTGTCCTAGGGTGAGCAGTACAGGCACTGGCACCAGGGAGCTACCCCCTTGAGATCTGAAGCAAAGGGGCCTTCCTCATCTCAGCTTTCAAAGCCCTAGGTGACCTGAACCAAGGATAAGGGTTCAGCCAACTTGGGGTTCAGCCTAAGAACCTATGACAAAGAGGAGTCCAGGGTGTTCCACTCCTCCTTTGGATGAAAAGGAAGGGGCTAGGCAAATAGGGAATGGTCATGTTTCTCTGGACTATGGAGCAGGGGGGAGGGTGGGGAGGGTTGGAAAGGGAGTAGGATAGCAGAGTAGAGGCCATAGAAGTGATTAGGAGTAACAAGGCAGGCAAGCAGCAAAGAGCTTTTTAATTTGTGGCCGCAGAGCTGTCCACCCACTCTATATCCGAGCTTTGTAATCAGGGCCCTGTGCAGCCTGTTCCATTTTCTCAGCTTCCAGGAAAACAGATGAGAGAAAACTGTTGTCCCCCATTGAGAGAGAGAAAAACCTTGGGGGGAGGTAGGGGAAAGGGTCTGATGAAGCACCAATTGTGTGCTAGGGAACACACCCACTGCCATCCTCATTAACCACTAGCACGCTCCCCTGTCCCCCAACCCTAGCAGGTTTTCCTGGAAGTTAAGGAAATAGAAATAGAACAGGACATGCCATCCAGTGATTGAATGTCCTGGAGCTGAAGCTCAGCAACCCTAGATTAAAAAGCTTTCAGGGCTGCCTTCCTCATTGCCGCTAATAGACCCTAACCATTTGTTCTTGGCCACACCTTATCCACTCAGATCTTCTGAAGGGGGTTGGGGACCTAGGGTCCTCCTAGCTTCCAAGGTTGACCCCCTCACTCAGAGATCCTTGGGATATAAAGGAGCCCCAATAATGTCAAGAGAGTCCCTTCATGAAATGGGACCAATGTAAAATGGTGGAGAGGCTAGGGCTATTTTCAGCCCCAAGGGAAATGGGAATGGGGAAATTGGGGAGTAGTATAAGAAGGGTATATGAGGGTTTGGATGTTTTTTTCTAAACATCCTGGATTTTTTGGGACAGCCCAATTTCAAATATTCAGTCCCACTATCTCTGTGAAAATACTTCAGAAATACCATTTTCCAGCAAATAGTAACTGGAAAAATAATAACAAATTTATATGGGGGCAGCTAGGTGGTGCAGTGGATAGAGCTCTGGGTCTGGAGTCAGAAAGACCTGAGTTCAAATTCTGCTTCATGAAATGAGGATAATAAGAGCACTAGGCTTGTTGTAAAGATCAAATAAGATGATCATTGTAAAGTGTCTGGCATATAGTAAATGCTATATAAATGTTAGCTATTATTATTAAGAGGATGATCAGGTGAACTCCTGGTTACTTTGAGAAGTGCTCTGGAGACTGTGAGGTCCTCTGAAAACCCAATCCCTCTATTCCATGTCATCATCCACTTTCATAAGTAGGATCACCAAATGCACATGCCTCTAGGTCTGAGCCCTCATTGGCCAGTCCCCTATTCCATGAATATATGCAGAAGAAATACAAGTTAATGGAGGAGGGGAGCACTAGCAGCAGGGGAATGGAGTACTGGTAAAGGTTTTATGTACACAAGCCCAAATTAAAATCTTTTGCCTGATTATCCCTATAAAACATGCATAACACATCAAGAAAGGGTAAGAAAAGGAAAGGGTGGAAAACTGAACATTGATCTCTTTTATTTGTTTTTTTTTTTCAATTTTTATCCTGACTGTGATTTCATATTTGCTACTTATAATATCTGAGTTGCCTGGAGGCATTGACAGGTTCAGCGATTTTTCCATGGTCACTACCAAGATGTATCAGGATGTAAATCTAAGTCTCCTCTCCAATTCAAGTCCTTGCCCTCCCCACAGTGCTTCTGACTTTCTAGACTTTGCAGCCACCATGTCTCAGCCACAATCTCACCCTGGAACATCCATTATTCCCTGTTGCCTTTTCATCCTGGAACATCTGTTATTCACTGTGACCTTCTCAATAGCATTAGAAAGACACTGCTGGAAAAACCTGAGAAGATATATGTGAACTGGTGAAAAGTGAAATGAGCAGAACCAGGAGAATGTTGCACACAGTAACAGCAATATTGTAACAATGATCAGCTGTGAAAGACTTAGCTACTGTGATTGTACAATGATCAGACAATTCAAATTCCGTGATGAAAAATGCCATCTACCCTCAGAGAAAGTACTCTGTGTGCAGAGTTTTAACTTCCTTTATTTTTCTTGCTTTGTATGTTTTATTTTGCAACATGGTTAATATGGAAATATGTTTTGCATGACTTCACACATACAAGTGATATCATATTGCTTGCCTTCTCAAAGGGTAGGGGAAGGACAGGAGGTAGGGAAAGAATTTGGAACTCAAAATTTTGTTAAATGAATGTTAAAAAAAATTTTACATGTAATTGGGAAATATTTAACAAAATAAAAATATATGTGTATATATATGTGTATACATATATATACACATATATGTATATGTAGAAAGAGACACTGCCAAAGCTTCAGTTGGTTGAGTGGTTTGAGAGGGCTCTCTTGCCCATGCTCCACCAGCATTTCAAGGTTCCATTGGTCAAGAGTTGGATTGGACTTGATTACCCACCTGCAGCCTTCAATAACCAATACCCACGCCCTGTACCAATGAACTGATGAAACGCCTACTTTATTTCTGCCAGCAGAAGTTGGTGAAGGACCTCAGCAGGAGCCCTAAGAAGCTAGGCATCTTCTATTAGCAAGTTATGGATAATTTTCCAAATGATTTATATATTGGCATTTACTATGGTAAGGCCTGTGTTGTAAATAAATAGAGATGTCCATATGACGGTTTTAAGCGCAGGTTGGAACTAAATACTATAAGAATGTTTTTAAAATATATGGACACTTATATCACACACGCCTTCAAAGAGGACTCTTTGAATATATGTTGTCTCCTCTATTAGACTGGGGGCTCCCTGAGAACAGGAGCTGCTTTTTGACTTTCTTTGTATTATGTTGGAATGTTCTCCAAAAAAAAAAAAATATATAGGGGGAAGAAAGAGGGAACCACTGGGACAGGGGTGGGGAACCTGTGGCCTTGAGGTCACATGTGGCCTTCTAGGTCCTTGGGTGTGGCCCTTTGACAGAGTCCAAACTTTATAGAACAAATCTTTTTATTAAGGGTATTTCTTCAGTAAAGTTTGAATTCAGTCAAAGAGTCACACTTGAGGACCTAGAGGGCCACATGTGGCCTCAAGGGGGCAGGTTCCCCACCCCTGTTTGATTGGGAGGAAGGGGAAAGGAGAGGTAGAATAGGGAAAATTTTCTCATGTAAAACTTTTACAATGAAAGAGAAAATAAGGGGTGGGATAGTAGCAGGCAAAACTTGAACCTCATTCTCATTACAGTTGGTTCAAAGAAGGAAGAATATATACACATTCAGTTAGAATGAAGTAATACCAAAAAATTTGACAGCAAGTTTCTCTAATGAAGACCTCATTTCTTAAATATGTACTGAGTAATATACACTGAGTATAGAACTGAGTAAAATTTATAAAAATAAAAGCCATTCCCCAAATGATAAATGGTCATATGATATGAACAGACAATTTTCAGAAGAAATAAAAGCTTTCTATAGTCCTTTGGGGGGAAAAATATTCTAAATCACTACTGATTAGAGAAATGCAAATTAAAACGACTCTGAGGTACCACCTCACACCTATCAGAAATGACAAATGCTTAAGAGAATGCAGGGAAAATAGGTACATTAATAAACTGTTGGTGGAGTTGTGACCTGGTCCAACCATTTTGGAGAGCAATTTGGTTTGTTTTTGTTGTTTGTTTTTTAGGCAATTGGGGTTAAGTGACTTGCCCATGGTCACACAACTAGTAAGTGTCAAGCATTTGGTCTGAGGCCGGATTTGAACTCAGGTCATCCTCACTTCAGCGCTGGTGCTCTATCCACTGCACCACCTAGATGCCCCCTTGGAGAGCAATTTGGAACTATGCCCAAAAGGCTATAAAACTGTGCATACCCTTTGACCCATCAATACCACTACTAGGGCTACATCCCAAAGAGGTCAAAGAAAAAGGAAAAGGACCTATATGTACAAAAATATACATAGCAGCTCTTTTTATGGTGGCAAAGAATTGAAAATTGAGGGGATGCTCATCAATTGGGGAATGGCCAAGCAAGTTGTGACACATGATGGAGATGGAGCACTATTGTGCCATGGGAAGTGATGAGGGATTGGTTTTAGAAAAACATGGAAAGACCTATATGAACTGATGCAAAGTAAAGTGAGAAGAACCTGGAAATCATTATGCATAGTAACAGCAATGTTGTAATGATGATCAACTGTGAAAGACTTGGCTACTCTGATCGACACCATGATTCAAGACAATTCCCAAGGACTCATGATTTTAAAAAATGCTATCCATTTCCAGAGAGAGAATTGATGAACTCTGAGTGCAAACTGAACTATCATTTCTTCACTTTCTTTATTTTTCTTGCTTTAGTGGGGAAATATGGCTAATATGGAAATATGTTTTGCATGATTTCTCATGTATAATTAATATCATATTTCTTGCCTTCTCAGTG